TGGGGGCCTCCCCACCTTTCCTGCTCTGCACATGGCTGGGCAGTGGGCCTGTTGATCCTGGGATGCCCTGTGGGGCCTCTGGGCAAAGTCATACCCAGAAGAAAGGCCTACTGTGCCCGGCACTGCCCTGCTAGGCTGAGGCCTGCAAGAGGCCAGGCAGGCACACAGGGCAGTCCCCAAGGACCCTCGGCTCCCAACAGCTGCTCCTGGGGGGCCCTACAGGGAGGGGTAGGAGGAGGAGCGGGAGGAGTGGGGGTGGGAGTGGGGCGCAGAAGAAGGGTCCGGAAGCCCTGTCAGTGGCAGTTCAGGGCTGTTGGGCCCTAGATGCCAACAGAGGTGCCTGCTGTGGCCTTGGTGTGGTAAGCTGGGCCGGAGCAGTTTTGGGTGGTTGGTAAGGGCCCCAGGACGGTGTCTGGGAGGACCAGCTGATCTGGAGGCAGACGCGGGCCCCTCCCTTGGGAAGTGCTGGGAATGTGGAGGGCGCAGGGGCCAAGACGGGAGTTTCTCGATTTTATGTGATGGGAATCATTTGGTGGAGAGGAAGAACCTGGATGTCTCGAGAGAAACTGCTCACACCTCAAAGGTCTTAGGAAACACGGGGAGAGGCTCTGACGTCTTTAAAACACGTGCTGCAGTTTCCCCAGGCCTGTGGCCTGTCCCACACAGTGGGGCCTGCGCCGGGCCTCACCTGACAGATGCGCCTGAGGAAGGCATAGGCTGCCAGGCAGCAGTCCTCGTAGCCCTGGGCACCCGGCGACAGCACCAGGGCCAGCAGGATGTGCCCGCGGGCCAGCGCCTCCAGCTGCCGCACGCTGCGCAGCTGCTCCAGGGACACCGTCTCCCCGGCCTCTGACACGGGGCTCCGTGGGGGCGTCTGCACAGGCACGGACTCCCCTGAAACACGGGGTGCCCGAGGCTGAGAGAAGGCCCGGTTATGGGTCTGTGGGCCCCCGGCCACTCCCTCCCCTGCCCGAGGCTGCGGTGGACTGCCTAGCGCCTTTCTGACCCCCGCCTCGTTGGTCCCTGTGCGCTGCTCTCTGCTGAGGGCCGGGAGCCAGGAGAGGAAATGCTGTTGGACTCATTCTGAGAAGACTGAGCCTGGCCGCCCCCAGGAGCAGCTCTGCTCCCAGCTCCAGCCCCGGCCCCTCAGGCCCCCAAGGGCTCTCCTGATGCCCTGTGTGTCCCGGAAGCCTCATGATCTGCACCTGGCCTGGGCACCCTGCTCCTGTCCCAGATGGCCCCGAGGGCCTGGGGGTTCTGAGCAGGGGGCCCCTTCATCCTGACAGGGGGCTAGGACCAGCTGTCTCGCGGAGGGTGACCCTGAGAGAGCCAGCGCTGTTGAGTGCGCCAGGTCGGCTCCACTGTGTGCACACACATGTGTGTGCCTGTGTGTATGCGTGTGTGGGGGGGGAGACCTGCGCGCCCCACAGAGCTTCTGCCCCAGGTCACCCTGGGCTTGTGCCCAGGCACCGGCCATGGTTAAGCCCTGGATGATGCCAGTGAGGCCTACATCGTCTGCCCAGGTCCCCGCTTACCAGCAACCCCCACCTCCCTGCACTGCTGTGAGCAGGGGCCCGCAGCTGGAGAAGGGAGCCCCCACCTTGAGTTGGAAGGGACTTTTGGGGTGGCCGAGGTGCCCGCAGGGTCTGGGGGCTCAGGACTCCCCCTCCCCCAGCCTCCTGAGGAAGGCAGCCTCTGGGCCGGCCCAGCCACGTGCCTGAGAACTTGCCTTCCCCTTGACCTGCAGGGGGCCGTTCTGTAAAGGTGATTTGGTGGCTGTCAGACTGACTACCTCAGGGCCCCTGCAGGGGGCATCGCTGAGACGCACCCGGGGCTCCTGATCTCCAAAGCCTGCATGGACACGTGGACACCTAAAGGCCGTCCGGGTTCCGGACAAGGAGGAGAGTACAGGGGGACCAGTGCGGGGTCGGTACCCTGGCCATGGCGTGGACTCACCGTCCGGCATGGCCTCTGGTTCGGGGGCGTCGCTGGGCGGCTTCATGGCCAGCAGGATCTCGATGGCCCAGCGGAGGTGGAAGACCACGTCCTCGAGAGGAAAGTGTCTGTGGTAGAGCCACTGGCTGAACTCCAGGAGGTAGTCCACCTTCTGCCACTCCGTCTCAGGCTTCTTTGGGATCAAACAGAAAGGGTGACATCCTCAGGATGGCCCTGAAGGCGTCGCTTACACTGTGAAACACTTTCACTGCTCATTTTCTAAAAAAAAGATTCATTCTTACCCCACAGTTACGTTTGGAGGCTGCCTCCAATGAGACCATGTTGCCATTTATGGTCATTGAGATGTTCCAGGTACAGACAAGGTGGCACTGCTGTCTGTTTTCACAGGCAGCCCTCCCAGGGCCCACACGTCCCCTGCGCTGCAGGAGGACACAAGGCAGGGGTCCTGCTGTCCCCTGGTCTGAGGGTGGCCCTCTCTGGGTGGTTCTGGGCAGCCCTGTGTCCCTGCTGGAGGGGAGGCCCCCGCAGAGCAGGAAAGGTGCTTGCTCTGTCCTGCACCCAGACGCAGAGTGCAGCCCAAGGCCTGGCCTGTGCACACTCGGCACTTAGTTCAGGACGCGGGGTGCTAATCAGATCGCCAAGGTCCTGCCCTTAACCCAGGGCTTCCTCTGTCATGAAGAGGTGGGAAGGGGAGAAGGATGAGGAACCAGTGGGGCAGCAGGGCCTGGAAGCCCCGTGAAGGAAGGCCACAGATGGGGAGGGAGGGGAGCAGCTGTGGAGGCTGGTGACGGCTCCCACAAAAGCTGTGCACACTGGGGAGGGCCTTGGCCCTGATGGGGAAGTTTAAGAGAAAGTGGGTCATCTTCTCAACAGAAGCGCGGGGCCACCTGGCGTCCACAGGCTGAGGAGTGCCGGGGACCCTGCCTCACACTGTATTACTCATAAACATAAGAGCCAGAACCATAAAACTCAGAAGATAACAGGGAATAAACCTTCATCACCTTGGGTTTTGCAGACACAGCACCATCAACGTGCGTAAACGCACACGCCACGCCGGCAACGCGCGCAAACGCACACGCCACGCCGGCAACGCGGGCAGGCACAGCTACAATACCAACACAAGCAACAACACAAGAAATAGACAACTAGAATCCATCACAATTTCCAACTGTGCCATAAATCGTACCACCCAGAAAGTGAAGAAGTGGTTGGAAAGCCGCTCAGAGAAGGAGAAGGGTTTGTTGGCGACGCCCCTGCTGAAGAACTTGCATCCCGAGTGCACCATGAGCTCCTACAGGCCAAAACCAAACAAGCAGACCACAAATGGGCAGAGGGCCGCAGTGGACACTTCTCCGACGACCTACAAACGGCCCACCAGCCCTTGGGAACACACGCGCCATCTTCAGTCACTGGGAAAATGCCGGCAGGCACGAGGAGACACCCCTCACGCCCACAGCATAGCTAGTCAGATGAGATCGAGAGCCGGTGTGTGGTGTGGAGAAACCGGAGCCCCACGCGCTGCGGCCGCTGAGGGAGATGATCCGGCCCTTCCTCGGACAGCCCCACACAGGGCAGCCATGCGCCCAGCAACTCCACCGTGGGGCTGTGCCCACGGGAGGCAAGGACGGGGCCAGGCCAGGACGCGTGAGCAAATGCTGACAGCAGCGTTCTTCACAGCAGGCAGTGGGAAACGACACGAACGGCATCCGTGGCCTAACGGATAAGCACGTACTAGAACGTCAGACGCACACCGGATACTACTCAGCCCTGAGTGGGAACGATGGGGACGGCCCCGGGTGATGTCACGCTGAACGAAGGACCGTGTCATGCTCCATTCTGTTTACAGAAAATGTCCAGATCCGTGGCTCGCCAGGGCCAGCGGAGGGAGGGAAGGATGGGGAGTGAGTGCTGACGGACGCAGGGTTTTGGGGGGCAATGAAATGTTCTAAAATTGTGTGGCAGTGATGACTGTATAACCCTGATAATTTACTAAAAACATCACATTGTACCTCTAACAAAAACAGACAACTGAAGGAAGGACTCGGGTCAGTGAGGACAGAAAACACTTTCAAGGGTTTCCGCCCCTAGGGCCAGCGCGGCTCAGCTGGGTCCTGCCTTCCCCAGCCACCCCTCCTCAGGCCCTTCCTGCTTTCCCTGGAGGAGGCTGGGTCCCTCCCTGCTTGATCCCTGCCAACCCCAGCAGGGCAACTGCCAAGGAACGACATAGCCTCTGGTTCCCCGAAGCGAGGCAACGTGGCACAGCGTGGCTCAGCGTGGCTCCCCGTGGCGGTACCCGGGAGTCTGCCTTGACAGTCCAGTGCCCTGAGCTGCACTCTTAGCACCTGGCAGAGCCTCCGGACTATGCTCAGTTACCCCACCCGGGGGCCACCTGGACCCCAGGGCAATCCAAACTCCTAGGGGAGGACTGTTCTCAGCCAGAGAAACAGCCTGCGTAACAGAAAAGCCTTTTAAGATATTCGCTAATGTTGGAAGGTTCGTGCCTTTCACGCCAGGAGCCTGGGATGCCTTTTGTTCCCAGGATAAAGTTCTGCGCTATGCACCGCACGGCCCTTGCTCCTGATAAGCAGAGGAGTCAAATCGACGCCAAAGCGCCTGCCTTCTCCCAAGCCCACTCCAGGTGTATCCAGGGAAACGTCTGTCTTGGCTTCTGTGGGTGGGGAAGACACACCAATGTCCTCCATGACCCCAAATCCCAGGGCCCTGCAGAGCCCTGCTCTCCTCTGCCGCCACACGCCCATCTGGGCCCCCGTGCCTCTGGAGGAGCCTAGGTGCTTCCACCTGGGACAGCACCCTCTGAGCCCCCCACACCCTCCTCAGGGACGAGGACCTGACCATGACCCCTCCATGCTGGAAAGGGATCACTGAAACCAACTCCGTCCGTCGTCCCTGACTGGTCAGCAGGAGGAGCACCGGGGCCGTGTGGTGCATTCTGCACCGTCAGCCATAAGTGCCGCCCATGCCAGTTCCCAGCTGAGCTTTCGTCCACTCGAGGATAAACGGCACCCATGCTCATGGTTTCGCACCTGCAAGGCCTGGATGGCGCTGTGGTAGCAGGCCAGCTCTCCAGACACGCTCCGCGAGTTCAGGGCCAGCCGGTGCCACATGCCTGCCACGTAGTCCTCACTCTCAGCCTTGAACTTCTGGATTTCCATCGAGAAATTCTGCCCGAGCTTGGCCTTCACGATGATCATGTGCTTGAAGATCAAGCTAAAGGAAGGGAAGGAGATAACCCTGCGCTGGGATTGGACGGCGGGACCTTGAACGTGTGTGATGCAGCCCAGACTTGCTCCTCCACGCCCTGCTTAAAACGATGAAGCCAAACAGAGCCCGGGTGGGTGGGGGTCTCGAGGCCGCACTGCGTTTTAAGTTCCCGCTCTCTCTGTGTTGAATTTTCCTGGGGAAGTCAAGGCTTCCAGCGAGAGTGGGAACTGGGGGAGGCCCAGGCAGAGAGGGACCGTGTGGGGTGGGGGAGTATGCTCCAGGCAGGGTGCAGCAGGTGGGTGTTCACAAGTGGTGGGGGAGACATTCCGGGTGGGGGGAGCACACTGTAGCAGGGGGTGCAGCACTCACAAGCGGTGTGGGGAGCACGCCCCGGGGGGAGGGGCACACTCCAGTCGGGGGACAGCAGGTGGGCAGCTCACAGGTGGTGGGTGGAGCACTCACAGGTGGTGTGGGGAGCACTCACAGGTGGTGTGGGGAGCATGCCCCGGGTGGAGGGAGAACACTCAAGTAGGGGCACATCAGGCGGGGCACTCACAGGCGGTGTGGGGGGCACTCACAGGCGGTGTGGGGGGCACTCACAGGCGGTGGGGGGAGCACTCACAGGCGGTGGGGGGAGCACACTCTGGGTGGAGGGCATACACTCCAGTGGGGGTGCAGGAGGCGGGGCGCTCACCGGTGGTGAGTGGAGCACTCACAGGTGGTGGGGGGAGCACTCACAGGCGGTGGGCCGTCCGCGGCAGCACCTGCACAGCCTCGTCCAGCACCTTGAGGCCGCCTTCCCAGTTGTCCTGGTCAGCATGGCTGTGGAAGAGCAGGCCGTAGAGCGCGGCGCGGAGTGTCAGGTCGTCCTCAGCCCCTGGGAGGGAGAAGGAGGGGTGTCCTTGGAGCCGCCTGATCCCTCAACAGCACCCTCAGACCTCCTGGACCGCACTGCCCATCACAGTGCCCCCGAGGTGGAACCATGGCTACACAGGCGCCCAGGCCAGTGCGTGCCCTGCGGGGCTCATGCCAGCTGTGGACCTGTGTGGCCCCTCCAGCCCGCCACCGGCCACCCGAGATGTCCTTTCCACCGTGGGAAGCAGCTGTCTTGTCTCCTTGCTGGTCTCTGCCTCTCCCTCCCCATCTGCTTGGAGAGGTCTGCATTCACAAACACACTCCTGCGTCTCCACGTACTGAACATCAGCGAGCAGGACTCAGGGTCCTCTCAGGAGTTGCATGGAAAGCACCCCCGCAGCCGAGGACACAGCGCCATGTCCGCGTTCTGGAGTCCTCAGGCTTGGTGCCCGCTGCGGCACGGGAACAGCCCCGTGTCTCCGCAGAGGATGCTGCGTGACATGCAGAGGCAAAGTGCCACCACCATGGCACACGCAAGGACTGCCTGCCTGCTGAGTGAGCCCCACGCAGACTTCATAGGTCGCCCCATGGGCTGTCAGTGCCGCCGTATGCACGAAGCCAGCGGGGTGGAGCCTGGTGGGACAGAACCCTCAGTGTCTGGGCGAGCTGCCGATGAAGGGGCCGTGAGGAGACGGGGTGGACACAGGGCTGGACCCCCTCACACATCCCCACTCTTCACAGATCCCAGCCTGCTCCACAGCCTCCCAGCCAAGAATCCTTTTACCACAAGGATTCCAGGAACCTCGGGAGATGCGAAATATCACACCAAGGCCATGGAGCCCCCACCTCAGGAAGGGGTGCCCAGCAGTGGACCTGTGCCTTGCTGCTGCCCCCGCCCCAGCACCTCCTTGGCAACCAGGATGCTGACCCATCCCCTCCCCGTCACGGGCGCTGTCTGGGCCAGCCTGTACACCCTACCTAATGACAATTCCTGTGCCCTCCTGGCTCTTTCAGAGGTCAGTGAGGAATCTCTCTCCCTCTTGTCCCAGGAATAATCTTTGATGAAGCCTTGTCTGGAAAACTCTTTGGGTCTCAAGTCAATTCCTACTGCACTGAGCGTCCGAGAACCACAGTGGGTACCAGTGCAGGCTCCACCCATGTGCCGGCAGCAGGTATCGGGTTTCCCGGCTGTCTCCACCCCCGCTGCCCCTCACCTGGCTCCCCTCCCGCTGCTTCTGTGGCCTGCTGCA